AAAGACAGGATCTCACATAGCCCAGGCTGGACCGGAACTCAACATGCTGCTGAGAATGGCTCTGATCGTCTGATCTTCCTGCCTCCATCTCCAGGATGCAGAGATTACCGGTTTGTTCCTTCACATCCGGTTGATGCAGCGCTGGGAACTGAACCAGGGCTATGAGGGCACATGGTAAGTACTCCATCCCTGTGCTACAGGGCCGGGCATCCATACACAGTAATTCGCCATCAGACGTACCACAGCACTGGACCTCCTTCCTAACTTTTTTTAAATGGCCCCATTCCTGAGCAAGATGTGTTCAGGTTGAAGGCAGCTCTGACCAAACACCTGAACTTCCGATACACCTCTGCGGAGCTTGGGAAGTGTCCTGTCCCCCTGCTCCCCAGGAACTCGGTGCTTCTACTTTGGGATGGAGCTGTGGCAGCCACAATAAAGCAGGAGTCACCCAGAAAGTCCAGCCAGGCAACCACGGCCCATGGAAGCACTACTGTCCTGTCAGCTATGTCCTGGCAAAGAATGACCCCGCTGGTGTGAGCTTACACAGGAGGAGGCTTCTCCCTTATGAGACAGCACATCATTAATGCTTCTGAAATGCAGGAAAGGGAAAGAACTCTTGCCTGTGTTTTCAAATCCTGGCACTTAGAGAAAAAATCATCTCCAATTTCCCTCCATTCTGCTGTCACCTCAGATGGGCTCAGTTTTCAGTAATAGCTGTGTACATATGAGAGACATATACTTCTTTTGCTTTCATAAACCTCAGGATCCTACTAAGCACCCATGTTGCAAACCTCATGATTTTACTGGTAATATACATGAGTATAAACAGGCTCCTTGTCACTTGATTATGTAGAAAAGAAAGAAGGAAGGCATTCCGCCTAATAAACATAGTCAAATGAATGGAGTCTGTGAGAGATCGCTCCAAACCTCAGGGCTCCTGCATTTGAGTCAGATTGGAATGAGCCTACCCTCTTTCTGGCTCAGTTATGTGAAAATTGGCAAGATTCAGCAAACATCCACATGCAACACAAAAATAGTTGTTCTAAAGCGCCAGGACGGTTCTGTTAACACTTCAGGAAGCGTTGGCTTCATGGTGTACGTGGACCCTTCTGCTCTAGCATTCAGGCTGTCAGCGCTTGCCTATCTAGCTGCTAATCCAGCGGAGACAGAGTAAGGACCACACTGTGTATGGATGGGGCATTGAAGAAAGAGCCAGCACTCATCTCCTAAAAGGAATCAGCCGCTATTGCTATGATCTGTGGGGCCACTGTAAGGACATGTTCAGGAACAGTACACAAATATCCCAGCTTGGACTCATGACTAATTTAACTCACAGCACACTTATATAATAAGTTAGTTAATTTATTTTACAAGTGGGGAAACCAAGGTATCAAAGGGCAAGACTACTGTGTCATTGACCCAGGTGAGGAGAGGAGACAGACTCCAAATCCCTGCCTTCCTAATTCTTGAGTGACAGCTGTGTAGGCCAATCCAGAGAAGCCCCCCCCCTTTCTCTTTTTCTTACTCTTTCATCACTCTCTTCCTTTTCAGAAAACTGTTGAGGATGGCTCTCCCAAGACTTCCTGGCTCAAATGCAGTAATCTGGCTTCTTCAGCAATAACCACAAGCCAAGAGGACACTGATGAGCATGATAATGTGGGAGGCCTGGCTCTCCATGGCTCATGATTCTCACGAACACAGGCTCAGTTAACGTGGGCAGATCCGCGACCAAACTCCGCCAGAGTCAGCCAGTACTGCCTTTGCATCTGATGACGGCCCACCAGTGCCGACCCATTCGACTCACCTTTCCATATGACCCTTGTCCTAAAACCTTTAGGAGCTCGAACTGGGAAGGGTCTGCCTTCTCAAAGCCTTCCTTCACATGGTTGCTAATGTCAATCTCCTTCACGATGCCTTCTTCCTGCAAGACACAGCGATGTGCAGTTAGGACACAGCCAGGCCCCCTTTAATCCATCTGTATCGCTTCCCTAAAGCGGAGACAGTTGTCTGCTCTGTGGGCTTCCAGCATGGGGGGTTGAGATGGTGTGCTATGACTGGCGCATAAGCCTTTAACTGCTTTCTCTCCTCCACAGGTTTCTGTCACCACGTTTTACCAAGACCACGAGGAAATCTGAATGGATTTTCCATGAAACCCACTCTGCAGTTAACAGTATGCAGTTAACGGCCTCAGAAGACCAGGAATCAAATGGTGACCCGATGGTGTCAGGCTTTACCACTGTACTTGGGAGACTGGGAGAGGTTCCCACATGGAAATGTCCAAATCACGTTCCAATATTTTTGACATGGGCAACGCAAAGAGTGCTACAAAAAGAGCCTTTCATCTCTATAAAACCCATCCATCGATCACTACGATGTCCATCATTTTGTCCTGAAGCTCTGCAACTTCCCATGTATGGGAAATGCAGACTCCGCCCCAACACCAGCCATTGGAGTGAGGAATCTGGACAGCAGGTGTCACCCCAGACATCAGAAAGCGCAGGCCAGGAAGTCATCCTCGAACAGCCAGCAGGAAGCCACCCTCCTGCCTCTTTCCATGCAAAATGCAAAGCCCAGTTTCCTCTCAATATTTGAGTTACACAGCTGCAGGTAGACTCTGTTCTCCATTCAAGGACTGACTCCAGGCCTCCCACCTCACCTATCCAAAATCAGATGCTTGTGAATGACATCACAGTGGCAACAGCCATTTACATTACATTGTAGATGTATAATTCAGGGAAGTAGGTGGCCTGGGACCACAGGTATATACCGCCATGCCTGGCTCCCTGTCTCATGTTGAAATTGTTGCTTTCTCTCCTTGTGAGGCTGGTCATTTTATCCAAAACTCTACAGGGGTCTCAATGCAATTCCCCCAGGAATAAGACATCCACTCCTAAATCAGGGCCATGGATCACACTAAATGCAGGTTTCTGGCACAGGGCCAGAGAATAGGACTCTTAAAAATAACTAGATGTTTGGGGAAAGAAGCCAGTTTCAAGGGCAAATGCCAGCTCCACTTACAAGGATCTCATCACCTCATGACTTATGAGAGAGAAAACAGAGCCCAGGGTCATCTCTGTGTGGAAGAGATGACAATGAACTTTAAGAAATCCTACTGAACCGCTGCCAGGGTTCCAGAACGTTCTCAGAGAGCAGGAAGTGGGAAGGACAGCCATGACAATAGCTACCAAGAGTAGGGCCATGAACAGGGATAATTAGACTTCTTCCCTTCTTGTTTTTATCTCTTTTATGCCTTTCTCTTGTCTTGTTGCTCCAGCTAAGGTTTTGAGAACTACGTTGAATAAAAAGGGTCAGAGTGGACATCGTGTCTCATTCCCAACTTTAGAGAAAATGTTTATAGTTTTTCTCCACTTAGTCAATGGTTGGCTACAGGTTTGTTGTATAAACCACATGCTCTCTCTCAGATGCAGATTTAGCCTATAATGTATACATGTGTGCATGTGTGTATACATACATGTACACATACACAAGTATGAAATAGAAAGGACAGTGAAGGTACTCGTGGTACCTTAGCAACAAGGCTGCCTAAAAAGGACATGAACAATGACACAATTGTGGAGGGGGAAATCTCACAGGGCCCCAGCCCTAGACAAAAACACTACAGGCAACTAAGAAGTACTGAGAGAGAGGGAGAAATAGCTGACCTCAGGGGTGAGTTTCCTAATTGATCATCTAATTCCAAATGGTCAGTCCTGAGACCACTAAGGATACTCAGGAGGTTGGATGTGTACATTTGTGCATTTAAACATGCATAATGATAACAGTTAAACAAAGAGGTCATGAATTTGAAAGGGAGTGAGGTAGGTGTACATGGAAGGGGTGAGGGGAGAAAAGGAAAGGGAAAGGAAAGATATAATTATATTTTAATTTTAATGTGATGTATATTAGATAGGAAGGAAACCAAAGGAGGATAAAAATAGTTGATGGATGAGGGGTGAGCAAAAAATGACACATAGGACATAAAAAGAGGAAGAGAGACTGAAGGGGAAGTTACAGGAGGTCCGTGTTGCAGAGTGATGATGGAGATAAAGAAAAGAAAAACAAAAAACACACTTTGCTCCAAAATGCACAGGGATATGTAACACTCCTTATGCTAATTTTAATATTTTGTAATTAAAAAAGAAAACCAAGAGTTGGTCCCCAGACTAGCTGCTTTGCCTCTGTCCGGTTACCCCATGGAGAGTTTCAATATCCTGCCTTTCCTTTTCCCATCCTTATGAAAAGCTAATGCAAGTTAATGGTTGTTAACTAGTGATGGAGAAGACATAGAGAACCTTCCCCTGCTGACTTCCCAACTCACTGGTACCTTCAAAGATACCTTTTAAAAAATAATTTCCTATCTTATCCAGCATATCCACTGTCATGAGTGACAGGCAGGGAAAGGACTCTGCCTTCCATCTCTGGCCTCGGCTATGTCCTCAGCTTCCTGCTAGTAGACCTTCTTTTGGATCCTTGTAGAGAAGAAAGTGCCAAAATGGATGTGAACCTGCTGCCTCTATTGTATGCTGCTTTCACTATCCCAGTGATGCTCGCAACAGAACCCAGACCAAACCAGACACAGACTTCAGGATTCCGTTTAAATGATTGCAGGAGGGTGTGGTTTACCTGTTTCTGAAACTGATGAAAACTTTTGGACAGAGGCCTCACGAAAAGGAATACACTAAACAACTTTCTCCCTCCCTCTTCTCTTCCTTTCTCCCTCTTTCCCTCCCTCCCTCCCTCCTCTGCCTCTTCTTTCTTTCCTTTTTATTGCAGTCAACATAGCCACTTCACATTTTTAAAAAAAAAATTATGAAATATTTTGCTAAAAGAAATGGATTTAGCTCCAAGCTTTCTAGTACTCTCCCTCTCCAACAGGGTGCTATTGTCTAACCTTGCTTGGTCTGTCGAGCTGTCAGAGCTGGGAACCTGGCATAAAAGGAAGACTCAAGCAGAACAAAGATATTTACCAAAGCCTGTACAAACCAAAAATTACAGGCTTTCAGTGACGAGTGCAGATGAAGGCTGTCAAGAGAGGTGACAGACTGGAGCTGCATCCCCCAGCTGCTTCCCTTTAAGCCTCACAACACAGTTTACTCCTGAGATAACGTTTTCACTCCCCCAGGCATACTGAGCACCAAGAACCAAGAGAACTACAGCAAGGCCAGCTTCAGCCCTCTCTATGACAGTGGATTCCATTCCCGAGCTCCTTTTTACCCTGCACCCTGTGACATGCTTCAGAAGAAGCAGGCTGGCCTGGCCAACCCTCCCAGAAGACACGAGGGCTCTTATCATCCATCTCAGTGTCTGGAGGATCCTCCACAGGACAAGATGCATATTGCACTAACTGTATATTCTCCGAAGTGTCACTGTCTACCCAGCAAAATGTCTACACGGTATCTACTCTATAAGCACTTGCACAGAAATCAAGGGACATTTATTTTGTGGGATGGTTTAAGACAAATGTGTCACACCGCCGTGTTGGCCCCTGTAGGACAGCCTACAGAGTTGGTATGCCCATGACATCATCATCCTAGAGACACCTTCCCTACTCGTAGTGCAAGAAGAGTTGAGAATTTTCTATAACCCTGAAGCCATTATTTCTAGAATACATGTATTTTTACATTTGAAGAAATTACATTGGAACAGTTGCAAAAAGTCATCCTTGCTTGAGGTTCAGCAAAGTATTTCAATCCTGTGCACCCAGATTACATGTGCCACACTGAGCTCACACACCCTGTCCACCGCACATGAGACTTTGGTGACGGCATACCTCTGGTCATGGGATGGCAAAAAGTCAATTATTCACACCAGATGAAGTAGACTGAAACCCATCCAGTGAGGATTCTGATCTGAACTGTCAAGTGAGAATTCTATCATTTCCTGAACCCGAAGAAAACCAGGTCTGGTTATGGAGGCATACAGCAACAGAGCAGAAACTCCCATAATCGTAACCTGTAGCCGGGTAGTCTGAGCAGAGGCCTAACAATGTTCCCTACACTGTTGTCAGCTATCATCTGGTACCCGGGGCTCTACCAGCAGTGCAGAATCTCAATGGCTTCACTGACGTAGCATAAGAACAGACATTAAAATAACTGCCGACATTAAACCTCTATGAGGGGCTGCATTTGCACTGTGGAGGTATGAAGCTTCTTGGTCACTTACTAGTGAATACTTTTGGGGTTGGCCTCTTTTTAAAAATGTATTTATTCACTTTACATTCTGATCGCAGCCCCCACCCTCCTCTCCTCCCAGTCTACCCCCCTCACACCACCTTCCTCTTGTTCTTCCCTCTCCTTCTCCTCAGAGAAGTGGGAGGTCCCCCATGGACCAACTCTCCCTGGCACGTTAAGTTGCTGCAGAAGTAGGTGCATCCTCTCCCACTGAGGCCAGACAAGGCCGCCCAGTAAGGGAAATGGGATCTAAATGGAGACATCAGAGTCGGAGACAGCCCCTGCTCCAGTAGTTGGGGGATCCACATGAAGACCACGCTGTGCATCTGCTACATATGTGCTGGGGGCTGGGACCAGTCCATGCATGCTCTTTGGTTCGTGGTTCAGTCTCTGTGAGGCTCCATGGGCCCACATTAGTTGATTCTGTAGGTCTTCTTATGGAGTCCTTGACCCTTCCGGCTCCCTCACTTGTCCCCCCAACTCTTCCATAGGGACTCCCTGGGCTCTGTCTAATGTTTGGTTGGGGGTCTCTGCATCTGTTTAAACCAGCTGCTGGGTAAAGTCTCTCAGAAAAGTTATGCTAGCCTCCTGTCTACAAGCATAGTGTCAGGGAGTGGTTCTCTCCGATGGGATGTATCTCAAGCTGGGCCAGTCTTTAGTTGGCCATTCCCTCAATCTTTGTTCCATCTTTGTCCCTGTACATCTTGTAGGCAGGAAACACTTGGGGTTGAAGGTTTTATGGGTAGGTTGA